AGATGCACCAATCACGTGGGTTATCAAGCCATCTGTAATCTCAAGTATTGAAGGCAAATCATTAGTGGAATATAATCAGGAATTATGACCACAGATTAAACTATGTGACAACAAACTTAAGGTTCATTAATGTTAATGCATTAAGTGAAATTCATTATTCATTAGCAGTAATGAAGGCATTACCAGTTCTTCCATTCGGCAGTATATTGTCTTGGAATGAACTCCAGCTTCCTATTTTTTTCATCCATAGCTGCATCAAGAGCCTGCTTTGCCATCTTACTGCAGTGAATGTACCACTGGGGCTTTGCCATTGGCTCCACAGCATCATGGCTTCTTGAGCAAATTCCAAGACTCATGAAAGTATAAAAATATATATTTAAAGTGTACTTAAACATTGATAATTGTAGAATTATGGGCTTAAATTGTATTTTTTTACAAGTAATTTTGTAATTATTCATTTTATTCATTCATGTTGTGCAAATTTTTGGTAATTGAAGGTTTGATAACTAAATAGAGAGAATTAGAAGAAAAGGACTCAAATGCAAAGGGCTAGAAAGATGAGGGTCCAAGGATCAAATTTAGAAGTTAATTTGACGGCTCAAGTGAGATTTTCTCCATTTTGATTAAGGAGCACATTGCAGAGATCAGAAATATGATGATCAACTTGCGTGGAATCCAGGAGTTAGGGACCAAGACTGTTATTCTGTCATTAACCAAAATTGCACAAAAATCAAAAACCCCACGGGGGTATCCAGCGGCGCTTCACTCAAGGTACCGGCACTTTGTTGAAGGTGTCGACCCTTATGCGATTTTTCAGCCAAACCGTATCTATCCTAATGATTTTGACGTGAGTTCCATCTATTATTGTTAGAGTTTTTAAAATCTTATAAATATTAATGTAATTTTAAAATTGAAGGCCGGAGAGGCTGCTTTCAGGCTCCTATTTTCTTTTTTTTTTTAATATTAGAGAATTATGTCAAAATGCATATCTAAATTTATTTTTAATTGAAAATTTTGATTTGTTATTTTATTTTAATTTTTTCATAAATTTTATTGTTTTACTTTATTTTTGAAGAATTATTAATTATTTTTATATTTAAAAGCCTTAAAAATTATATTTATCAAATTTCATATAAAATTAATCAAAATGATCATATGTAAGTTTGTTTTAAATTTCATATAAAAATTTCATATAGCTTCGTTGCTATGCACACTACGATGTAGTTTCTTGGCATTAATTAATGTAATTTATGTATTATGTTAAATAGT